AATTGACGGGTTTCCAAAATCCACCTCCATCAACCCCAACGGGTTTTGAACAAAAAAACACACATCTTTTCACCCAAACCAGTCAATTAAAATATCCCATTTGTTTCAACTCATATCACCGCCATTTTTCACTTGCACCGCCAAACTTCACCTCATCAGCACCAATCATCCCACCACCAAACTGATCATCTGACCACCAAACTTCACATCATCAGCACCAATCATCCCACCACCAACTCATCATCTTCAACACCAAGATCGCCTCCACTCAAGTCCTCAAAAGCAATCATGCCCAAAGTATCTCGAAGAAAGAAAATAATCGAAGCATCCAATGTTGCTGCAATGGCCATGATGGACGATTCAGATTCAGATCACAACTCAGAACTTGAAGAATTTTACTTTTTCTCTATGAGTCAGCTTCAAAAACGATACCTAGTAGCTCGAAACTCCACGACACGATTTGATCCTCGTTATGACTTGTCTGAGCTTCAAGAACTTCCAGAATTAAGCTTTGTGCAGATGTTTCGTATGACTTTTCCTTGCTTCCTCAACCTGGTACAGCTCATCGAACAAAACCCCATCTTCTACAACAACTCTTGTAATCCCCAAAGGGATCCACCAATCCAAATTGCTGTAGCAGTATGTCGTCTTGGATCAAATGGAAACGGTTCAGCTATCTACAGGCTCAAAAATCTGTTTCAAGTTGGGTTTGGAACAATCGACCTGTATACTAGACGAGTCATTCATGCTGTTTATGGATTACGATCTTCTTTAGTCACTTGGCCTACCGAATCTGAACGAATAGAATCATCTCAGGTCATGCGAGAGGAAGGATTCCCTGGCTGTGTGGGATTTGTAGATGGAACGACCATCCCTTTGAGTCAGAAGCCCCCCAAGGATGGGCAACATTACTTTGATCGTAAGAAGAGGTTAGCTTTTTGATACTGCTGAATTATATAAAAAATCTCCCTTGTTGATTGATTGTTATTTTCTCTTGGCTGCTTGGATCAGATACTCCATTTCAGTAACGGTCATATGTGATATCAACAAAAAGTTCATTTCTTATTTGGCTGGATTTCCTGGCTCATCACACGATGCTTATGTGTTTTCACACATGCAAGTGGCCCAGCAGCCTGAAAAGTACTTCGACCGAAAGCAATTCCTACTGGCAGACTCAGCCTACACCAACGATCGTTATGTTGTCCCTGCATTCAAAGGCAAACAATTGCTCAAACGCCGGAACATCGATTTCAACTACCACCTAGCACAATCTCGAGTCAGAATTGAACATGCCATTGGCATTCTCAAAGGTCGTTTTGCAAGCTTACAAGAAATTCGAACTCAAATCCGTAATGCTGAAGAGATGAAGGGGGCTGTAAAATGGATAGTTACTTGCATCGTTCTACACAATCTGCTGGCCGATCTCAAAGATCAACGTTCAATCCTGAAGACCTTCTTTTGCGCTTCTTCTTCGCACTCGTTTTCTTCCTTGGGGATATGTACTCAGAATCGTCTTCACCAGAATCGCTCAGAGCAGGTGCCTTGCTTGTAGATTGCACACGATTGCTTTTGTTCTTCTTCTTCTTTGGTGATTTCGCCTGGGTCCCCACGGCCTTAGACTTTGAAGCTGGATCTTGGACAGTCTCACCCGATGGAGTGGGTTCCTGGATAAGAATGATGAAGAAAGTCAATATAGTTGTAGTCTTTTTTGCCATCACTCAACAGTGCAACTTACACCTGTTGCCCCAGCCTGGACACCTGCCTCTTCATCCATTGGAACTTGCCCAGTCGCAGCTGCCGTTCTCTGTGTGACAGGGCAAATCAGTGAAAAGACCGCTAAGACTGCTGACAACAAATGAATCCAATTGACTTACATCACCTGTGTTTTCTTGCTCCAGGGCCACGATATTGACTTGTGAAGTAGCATTCTTCAACAAAGGGTGAATAGCAGTGGACTCAGAACTATGAGATGAATCGTTCTCATCCATCTCATTTGAGGAATCGGAATTGTTGTCCTCAGAAGATGATTCAGATGAATCGTCTTCATCCTCTGCATCCGCCATAAACAACGGATTGACGTCAGGCCGTTTACCAAAGATTTCGTCCATTTGAGCGTAGAGAGGACACATATTTTCAAGTTTATCCTCAATCGTTTTTATTCCAAGCTTCCAATCAGCCGGGGTCAGACCAAAGCCAGTTGACAAGGATTTTGTATGAGCTTTCTTATACTTGTCCTTGTATGACTTGAAACAATCTTTCATCTGTCGGGGGGTAAGATTGATTTTAGTTGGAGAAACATTTTGGAGGTGAATTGCCATCAACTCGTAACCGTTTATCATCGCCTTTGGTCGTCGTCCAATCGCAGGAGCCTTCCCATCGCCAAAACAGGCAACATAGTTTTTCTTGTCTCTGAGCCAGTCGATGATGATTTCATAGTCCTCTATTTTTAGATGACCTTGGGATGAACCAAGTTCATCATCGTTCTTCTTTGATCGTGTATTCTTTGGAGTGGCCCTCTTCTTCTTTGGAGGGGTTCGAAGTGATCGGAGGGTTGGGAATCTGGAAGCTTTTTTGGAGGCATCTGTTGGGTGCATGT